TCTGTGGCCCCCTCAGCTTAGTTCCTAGCCTCTTACATTTCAAACCAATATTTTACTTTATTGGCATTTTGTTGATATCAGCCGTGTACGACTTATTACAAGTATTTGGCTCCGTATGTGTTCCGTGAATTCACAAATCTCATTCTTTGTTACAGCTTTAATTTTATATTTTCCCTCTATGTCGAAATCAAAACTGCACATTAACCAATAAATTGTGCAAAACTCTCACAAAAATTCTCTTCGATTTACATCCGTCCGATGAGTCCGCTTTCGCACTCGACCAACGCTTCGCGGTAAAGTAGCTCCTGCAGCACCCTGTCTACGTCGCATGCGCTGCTCAGCATGACAACCACACCAACTGCAACCCCTGGAACGCTTCGCTGTTTGCCATTGATGTTTAGCCCATTTTCCCAATCCAATTTACGAAACAATTCGAGATTTTAATGAGAAAACAGCGTGCCTTACGTTGGGAGCAAACTAAGCCAGACTCGCCGGCAATGAGGTGTAGAAGTATATTTTACAAATCTTTATTTGAAGTCGAAAACACAAAAACATACATAGATAATATTAAAACAGTGCACATATGAACACAAACAAACAAACAAACAGTAAATCATAATAAACAGCCAATCTCACTGGATCTCCTCTCTGTTCGATGCCACCAAACATCGATTAACTGGAACTGCGGCCCGTCAGTCGCTTGGCTTCTCGCGGATAAGAAAGCTGCAGGAGCGGCCGTTCCTCCTTACTCTTCCTTCCCCATGCTCGATTCTCTTCAAAATGAGAATAAATAAGTTTGACGAACAAACGGTCATTAATGTTCGTGGCCTGTAATAGCGGATCGGCAACCGAAGAGCAAAGGGTTGCTAAGTATCACATAAGATGGACTCCGAATGTAATTTCAAGGTTCCGTGTCTAATTGTAATAGATACACCAACCTCCTGCAGCAGCTCCATAAGTTGTACAGAGCATCAAGCACAGATGCAACAATATTTGTGAAATTCTGCGCGACGCTCCATCCAATATTTCCTAAAATATAAGACGTGCATATGAAGTATTAAACAGTCCCTATCAACAGTTCGAGATCTCCCATCCTTTCCGTATGAACAATAAATGCACCAACCTCTTACGGTAGCCCATAAATTGCGATGGCTTCCGTACAGGCGATCTCCTGACTGCAAGTTCTTGATCAGCGTGCAGCCGGTCGAGCACACGCCGACGAGTCGTCCCACCCCAAATTTCCTGAAATACAAGATATGCGTACGAAAAATTAAACGGTCTCTATAAACATTTCAAGATCCCTCAAGTTTTTATGTATGAGCACTAGATGCACCAACCTTTTGTGTTACCGCCAGTAACCTATGAAAGGCATCAGGTACAGACGGCAACATATATACTGCCAATTCGCATAAATCGGAATCCAACTCAGAAGAATGTTCAAAACTTCCTGAAAAAGACATGTATCCGATGTATTAAATGGTTCCCATTAATACCAAAAAATTATTGCCCATATGAATATTTTGTTCTTACATTCCCAATCAGAATGGTCCGAAACGCTTGGCATGGCTAACATGTATGGTCAAACTTTCGTAACGTCCAGAAGCTGCAGTTACTGGTCCTCACGGACAATTTATAAGAGCAAACGGCTTTTCGTGCAGCACGTACTTCAAGTCCCACTCATGTTTTTTAATAAAAAACTATATAAATTATCGCTCCAGTACGACAGCTCTTGGCAGTTAAAAAGTTATAACGCCCAAATAACTTAAAAGCTTCCCTCTCCCCCTCCTCCCCTGCCCCCTTGCTCTTCTTACCGACTGCCAATTCGTCCGGCTCTACTACAGTGCCACTCTCATCACGAAAAAAAGACATCCCGCAAAAAGTACCAGGCCAAACGACCGCTACCAGCAAGAAAAAGCTCCTCATTCAAAAAGAGCCCATGCTCCCTAAGTGTCTGCGAGGGATAGGGGAGCTCAAGACGAAGGGGGAGGGGAGGGTAGCACTTTTCTATATTTTCGAGATTAATTAGTAAACAGAAGTGCAGTTACATATAAAACCTAGTTGCTAAGCTTTGAAGTTCAAACACTAACAGTTCAGTTTTAGCTAAAGACATACCGGCTGGTGAGGCTGTAAACGCAACGCTAGCACAGAGAGTGCTCGCTTTCGAGTGCATCGTGCAGCGAATGTTCTATGCTCCATTCATCTTTTCTAACAAACACTATACATACCATCACTTCAGTACAACATCTGGAACCTGAAAAAGAAAAAAAAAACACCTGCGAGCAACAAAGTTAAACAGCATAAAGCGGTTAATAGCTCATTACGATGCAACACCTCCGCTCCCAGATCCAATCTTTGGACACCCCACCTCCAGCTCGTCCCACTCCACAGCACTGCCCACTGCTCCCGAAAAGAACACCTCACAAATCACAAAGTCCCAAGGCCAAATAACCGCTATCAGCACGGGAAAGAGCTCCTCATTCAAGAACAGCAGGCCGCATCCAGCACCAATGTTCCCCAAGCGTCCACGTGGAAGAGAAAACACTGAATGCTCCAGCTCACAGCCTCCCCCCCTTCCCCCCC